TTATTTGGGAATTAAGCCAATTATTTATAACGGATATTTTATATTTTCATTTATGGCATGTTTAAACATGCATTATCTTCTAAATTATAAGTAAGAAGAGATCGGAAATTTTTAAATAATATTTATTAAAAATATACTATTTAAAACAAAAGATTTTTCTAATGTCAAGAGCATGTTTACGTTATAAACTAAAGTTGAGAGTTTATTTGAATGCAAAATAAAATTTAAAAAATAAAACTATAAATGAAATTATAAGGAAAATAAAATTTTCAATGAGATGAACTATTTTGTAACGCAAAATACATATTTAAAGATTGGGCTTTACCACAAAACTTTCAATTAATGTGTTCACCCTTAACCCGCAAATGTACTCAATTACGAGTTAAAGATGTTACATTAACTTTTAATCACTTTGCAAAACTCAATCGGGTCAAATTTAAAACTTTTTGAAAACTTATTCATTCCCTTTTTCATAACATTCATAAATCACATAGCTTTAAATTTTAATAGTTTAACGTTAAAATCAGATCTGATTTCAAGTAGTTTGGTAATTCGACACCGAATCATATTTAAAATGAAACTGCCTAAAAACTACCTACATAAAAATCCATTTCGATAGGATTATAATTATAATTTCATAAATTCTTTTCCTGGTGAATATTAACTATAGCTAATAACATATATACCATGTATACTAATTTATATAACACAACCCGACTTATAACCAAACTTTTCAAAGCAACGAAAACACACATAATTAATATGCATGCTAATTAGATAAGTCAAAGGTAAGATGTCTTACTGATATTGATATTATGTATGATTTTTTTGAAAAGATGCTCGAGATGCTCCTCACTTCACGTTCTTTTCTATGTTCAAATCTACGCATGAAAATCATCACACGCTAAGTAAAACTTAGTGAAGCAGTAACACAACTGAGAAATAACATAGAATGTCAAAAATTACATTAAAAAAAGAAATATAAATAAAATCATGAAACTTCCAAACCGGACTATACAAGCCATTTTTCTTCTCCAGGAACCTGAAAATCATTATCTCATAATTTATCAAAATCATATATATCAATATCAGACATTACAAATGTTCCATTTTTTTTTTCATTCGTATATATTTCAGAACTTTCATTTTCATGTTCTTTTCTTTTAGATACTTTTCACAACTTTCACATTTACTTTCATATCCCAACGTACACAACTGAGAATATTAGGTACACGAGTCAGAACGAGTGTGTGCACAATAAGTAGTCATAATTGCTTAAATTGAACGCAGACGTAACTACTAAAATTGAACACAGTCATAATTGCAAAATTGAACGTAGTCATAACTTCAAAACTGAACGCACCCTTGGTGAAACACATAAATATAAGTACTGTAGAACACAACATCACTATATTGCATAATAACTTATATATCGACAACTCACAATGTCAATACATCGTGAAGCTCAGAACGCACAATTAGTGCAAAATAAATGTACACAAAGGTACCAAAACGCACTTATAGTGCAAAATACACAATCACTCAATCTCATGGTATGTCAATTGTATCACTAACTCTCAATGCATATACAATGGATTTTATAATTCAAATCAAATATCAAATGCCATTAAAAAATAATCATAACATAAATTAGAACAATTTGGCAATTCATAGCCGAAATCAATCTTAAATCATTTTAGAAAATATTATGAAAATATTTCATAATATGATTCAAAATTCTTTTTCTATTAAAAACATTTGATGTTGACTTATCACAAGTCTTTCTCAATCATAATAATTAAATTAATAAACTGCATTCACTTGACATTTTATATACAAGTCAAAATATAAGCCTCACTAAGCTTTAATATGATCCTTCATTTCGATTATGAAATTTATCACAATTTTGTATTCTGGTAGTTTGCACTACCTTCAAAGAAACATTATTTTGCATTAATACGCACACTAAAAAGTTATTCGTTTATACCAATGGAAGCTAGACTCAAATACGAATCTAACCATATAATGAACGTCTTCTAATTCAATTTGTACAATTTATAGTGATTTTTCAAAACTGACTTACAAAAATTGTTTTGAGCAGAATCTGATGCCTTGTTTTCTGATCTATCCTAAATTAAAAATTCATATCTTTTTGTCTACACCTCGAAATCAATATTCATTTATTTTAAACGAAACTAGACTGATATACAAATCAAACGGTATAGATATCATTCTCTAATAACTTCTTTTTAATTTATGATGATTTTATAAACTTATGGTTCAAATCATAATTTCTAGGTAACTTTCCCTGATTAACACCCTTAGCTTATTCCATAATTTTATTAGCTTACCAAATGAACATTTATACATGAATCACAAATCACACAATATTTAGGATTCACTTCTTACTATAGTAACTCCATCATAGGCTCAACGCAAGTCAATGTTCATTCGATAACATAAATACACATTAAATATGCACTCACCTGTGTGTTTAGCTTGCAACCTTCCTTAGAAATTCACATTTCATCCTTAAGCTTCTCCTTAGCTTTAATATTGTTTGATCCTGATTTCAATCATAATCTAAATGAACACCATTTGCAAAATATATACGATTCAAACCACATGTTAGAGTCTTACTAAAATATGCACACATTAGAAAATAAATTTCTAAAAATCGTTTGATGCTCATTCGATATAAATTCTATGTCACAACATAAATGTTTACCTTAACACTTCTAATTGACCATTCAAGTCCCTTTTTCCTCCCCTAAATTCATCAAAACTCCACATAACATTTTCACTTAAATTTCCAAGTTTTCCATATTTGTGATTTGATCCTCAACTTTTACCAATTTTCCAAAATCAAACCTCTAACCATGAATTGTTTTTAGAATTCATATCAACTTTTCCATTTAATTCATAATGATCCTTCATTCTTAATCCAACTTAAAATTCCAACATTAAAATTCAACATTGAACACCTTAATTAATATATTTATATAATAAAGTCCCCCAATTCTCAAAACTTGTAAAGTGACCCTTTTCTATTTTAAGCTTCCAAATTGATCCAAATCAATCTCCAAATCACGTATGAACATTTTTAATATAAATTCTAGATCATAAGAGATTTTTAACATTTTTCCTCAATTTTCCCTTTTTGGCCTAAAATCACAAAGTAGTTAGGTGCATGCAATGGGGTTTCGGTGGATTTAAAATTGTCCGGATAAACACAATTGGGGCATGCAATGGAACATGACGTGATTATGACATCTTATCTAAATAAATAAGATTATTAAAAATAATTTTATTTGATTAATATAATTTAGTTATAAATATATTAAATTTGCTCGTTTTAATTTATAAACGAGTAATCGAATTACTTGAACTGTATTGACTTATAGTAACAAAATTATTGATAAAAGTATAATATGAATACATGAATTATATTACCAACATCAATGGGTTGGTTTAAGTGGTAGCCAGGTTGATATCATTTAAGTAAGTTTCGAGTGCAAGTTTTTGTTTGTACAAAAAAAATCCATTAAGAGACTCATCCATCAAATTTAGGTGTACGACCTGGACCGGTCCAAATTAATCAAAACATAACTTTAGGAACCGAAAAGACAAAAAAAAATACATATATTATATTACAAATTATATTTTGATTCTTTTATTAAAAATAAATAAATGAAAATTTAAATAAGATATTCTTTTAGGCATAGAATGTACATTTAGTTGGTTAGTAAATTGTTTATTCATATTTTTTAGGTCATGAGTTTTAATTTTTTTTTTCGGAGCACAATTATTCTATCTTTCCCTCTAAGTAGAATTAGAATTGGACTTAAAATTTATAAAAAAAAAATAGTGAAAATGAAGAAAAAAAAGTAAATTTTAAGCTTTGTAATTTTATTTTTAGTTGTATACGTAATACCTAAATAGGTGATTTGTCTATTTTCCTAATTTAAAGTAAATAATGGACATTTAAAATTATCCATATTTCACTACCGAATCAACAAATTCAATAGAATGGCTCAATCTATAAAAGAAGACCACATTTATTTTAGGGATAAATAATTGCATTTAGTGGTTAAGATAAGTGTTTAGAAGTTTAATGTCCACACGACTTTCTGCTTTGTCACCAATCCACAACATCAATGACCAGGATAGATTAGGCTCCAGAGTTGGCTTATTTTTTTACTTTTTGTATACAGGTTAGGCCTAAGACTTGGATGTTGATAATTTCCCATTAATTAATAATATATTTTTTATTTTTTAATATTAAATTATTATTATTATATCAATTTACTCATTTAATGATGTTGATACTTGATAGTTAAATTTATCTATTTTTAACGATTAAAATCATACATCGTGTTACACTAGTGCTTATGACATTTCAAAAAATATTTTATTTTAAAGATTAAAAACATATATAATATTTATAAATTTAAAAGATTTGGAATTTTTGGAAAATATTAAATATGATTAAAATTCTAAATGTTATAAAATCATTTTTTATAACTAAATTTGTTAAAATATTTTTCCTTGAAAATCAGATATTTTTAAAGATATTAAATATTTTCTTTTTTTTTAAAAAAAATATTTTGTCATGTGACACTTTTTGATAATGTAATTTGATATTTTCTAATAATAATTAATTTTATAATTTTAAAAATTTTATTGGCTGTAAAATAGTTCATAAATTTAATTATTATTTTCTTTAAGAACACAAAAACTTTTCGCAACTCTTTTTCTTTATAAAGCACTCGTAAATCTTATATATATGCGCATGTTATTATAAGTGTTGATTGTATATTTTTATTATAAGATGTAAACTGGAAGAAGAGGGCTAATTTACAACCTACCTCTAAACTATTTTTAAGAGATCAAATAAAAAGTTGGCATTTTTCTATACATAAATCTACATGAGCAAACTGAATTGGATTCAAAAGAAGCACAATAAATTGCAGAAATGAGAAATGGTTGATCAAAACAAGTTCAAAGTTTCCATTTATTCACTCTACAACACCTTAACTAATACATTAAAACCAAAATGGATTACATTACCAAGGCGCACCATCACCATCCATCTATATACACACACTCTTTCTTTTCCTTGGTTCGCCTTTAACAAATAACACAAGCATTTGGATTCTCTTCAATGCTTTGAACATAGTAAGAAGTGGTCATCTGTGGATTGTATGCTCTGTAGGCCTTGACAAGCTCCAAAACCGGGTCCACCGGTGGCTGCGGCTGCAGCTGTTGCTCCTCTTCCTTCTTCTCCTCCTCTTTCTTAGCTTCTTCTTCTTTCCTAGGCTCCTCTTCCTTCTTCGGTTCTTCTTCCTTCTTCGGTTCTTCTTCCTTCTTCGGCTCCTCTTCCTTCTTCGGTTCCTCTTCCTTCTTCGGTTCCTCTTCCTTCTTCGGCTCCTCTTCTTTCTTGGGTTCCTCTTCTTTCTTTGGTTCTTCCTTCTTTGGCTCCTCCTTCTTTGGTTCTTCCTTCTCCGGCTCCTTCGCTGGCCCGACCGATACTATACTGGTCGACCAGTTCTTGCGTAATTTGCTCACCACATTCACAGCATCAACCGTTCCGATCACCGTCAATTGCTTGGCTTTCATATCCATGGCAATGGAATCAATTCCTATCAGGCAAAGCAATGAGAAACACATGCTAACTAATCAACATGTCAGCACAAAAGAACAACATAGCATGTAGAAATCAGAGGAATTAAGAATCAATAACTGACAAGATGAAGAATTTGTTGTCATCAAGATCCCCAAGAGGGTCTTTTAACAAATAACAATCCAATTAACAAGTCCCATCATTTTCTGTGTCTTACTACAAGTAAACGCATAATAATAAAGGTCACGTATGTACCTGAAAGAGTTGAGACTGTTTTGAAAGCCCTGTGCTTGGCTTTGTCATCATGCAAATCCAGCTTCAGCACAATCTTCTGCATTAACAAAAAGAGATCTGTTTCAGTAAGCATTAAAAAAATTAGTCATTTTTTTTATTTGAATCATCAAATAAGATTGCAAAAAACCTAATATCCTTTGGATTCATAGAAAAAATTACATCCCGCAAGCAAAACCCAGAATTTATATTTTATTATAGCCGAAAAGATTAAAAAAATTAAAAAAAATCGGCGAAAGAGACACCATTGATTCTTAGGGTCCATTAAATTCAGATTTTAATAATCAAAACCGAATTCAAGAACAAAGCCTTACGATTCTCTTCAAAGTTCAAACCCACGACAAAAGATAAGAGACGGAGAAAACGAGACCAAATTAAAAAGCAAACGAATAATCGGAAACCATTGAAGGAAAACAGAGAGAGATCCCAAAGGAAGAAGCAGACCTTCATTCGTGATGAGCTTTGAACGCTTTCTTTTTCCTCTATTTTGAGGGATTCTGAGAAAGTGTTGCGAAAGAGAAAAGAAAGGGTGTTGAAAGCAAGAAAAAGAAGGGGAATAAGGCGGGATTTGAAAAAATAATAGAAAGGTTAGGACAGATTATAAAGGGAAAAAAATAAAGAAAGTCCGAATGAAAACAAGAAATGCAGAATAGGAGAGAGAAACAAAACGTAGGCAATGAAGAGAACAGAGAGAGACTGAACTACTATCGAAGAAAGTGAAAACCAGCGGGGAGAGCTTACAGATGATTTATCAATGAACTCAAAACACGACCAGGTAAAATGATTTTAGTGCAAACTACCATGCCTATCTTTAAATCTTAAACTACAATGTTCACCGCTCAATTTCTTCTCACTTTCGTTTTACACATTAAACTTTAATTTGTTTCAAAGCGATCCTTGCTTTTGTATATAATTACATAATTATTAATTTATTTTATTTCTTTTTTTTAATGATTTCAGATTTTTTAATAAAATAATATGATACATATAAAATTAAAATTAAAATATAATATTTTTGATTTCTTATGTATCTGTTTGATTTAAATTTTATTTTTGTTGTGTTTCATTACATTTATTTTATGATTAATTTTGTCAACATATTTTTATTTATATTTTTTTATGTTTTCTATTAATTTTTTCAAACAATTCGATATGATATTTTGTTGTACAACTCATATATGTAACATGAGTGAAATAAAAAATAATGTAGTAATTACACACAATTACACCGATGTAAGTATGTATATCTGTCAATATTTTGATACCTAAATATAACACCCCAAACATCGGGCCAGTGACTAAAATGTAAGGAGTTAAAATTTGGTGGTTTAAATTGAATAAATTGAAAAATTCAAGGACTAATTTTGGAAATTTTGTTTAGGACTTTATATCAAAGATGGGATATTGGAAGGGCATTATGGTCTTTTTAAATGAAAGAAATTTTATATTCCTTTTTAAGGGATATAAAACATGTGGAATAAGGAAAGGTATCATTCTATACATTATAAGCTCTTGTATTTTTGTCGAAAAAGGAACATAATTACGTGGTGATTAATGATCATAGTGAGGGTGATATATGATTTCGGATTTAACAATTAAATTAATATTTCATTTAAAATTTAAAGAATAAATTATTATTTTATTTTAAATTAAAAATTAAATCTTTTTATTAATCTGTTATATTATCAAATTAATATTTATAATGTCACAATGATCAAAATGCTATGAATCAAATATATAAATAATTAAAACGATATTGTTTTAAATTAATGTAAAAATAAACACACCTAAAATAAAAGTGACGATTTTGATGGCAAAATTTTTTGAATAATATTTTGAAAAAAAAATCGTCGAATAACATTTAGGGTGAATTATTTGTTGAGATAAGGTGAATGCTATAATATCGTGTAATTCATGTAATGCTTATGCATGGCACATGGAGCACCATGCGTTAGTTGTTGTCTCTTTTCCCTCATATTTTTTGAATATAAGGTTTAGGGTTTATATTTAGGTATAAGAGTTATAGTTTAGGGTTTATGTATGATTTAAGGGTTAGAATTTATGAATTAGGGTTAGGGTTTATGGTTTATAGTTTAAGATTTGGATTTAATTTGGACTATTTAATTTTAAGGGTTCAATATTTGAATTTATTTTTTTGTTGTAACAATGTGGAAAAAGTAATTGTTCGAATCTTAAACCCAATATTTATTTTTTTATTGTTTACAATAATAGTCCAAATTAAATTTAAATCTTAAGCCCTAAATCTTAAATTGTAAATCCTAAACCCTAACCCCTAGATCATACTAAAACCTTAAGCCCTAAACTCTAATCCTTATACCCTAAATCTAAACCATAAACCTTAAATAAAAAAATCAAAATATAAAAAAACTATGTAACGCATAATGTTGCATGCGTCATGCATGGGTATCCCATGTTAATCTATGTGTTTTATATGATAATGTAGCATTCATCCTATTTCAACAAATGATTTGTCCCTAGATTTATTTTTCCAAATCGTTATTCAAAAAATTCCCCCATTTTGATAGTTTATCAGAAAATAAATGCATTGTTGGGCTATTGTGTTGATTGCCTGCAAAATATTAGACCCACAGTAGACGGTGGATTTTTAAGTTTTAACCATTGCCCATTTCCTCTTTCTTTCTTTGAATGTATCGCCCAAACCCTAAGTTTCATTGGTTTCCCTACGAGTTCTCGTTTCGTTATTCATGTTTATCCCCAAATTTCATTGATTTCTCAATCATTTCCCAGTTCTCACCCTGCTAAAGCCATGGGCTATCAACAGCGTGATCCCGAAAACCTCATATCCCTACGATATCATGAGCAATTTCTCTGCGTGGTTGGAAATCCGTCTATTTTACTTTCGAATCGCGCCCTGCCTAGTTGACAGTGTGCCGGATCACCTCACCCTCTGCTACCTCTGCCGTGAAATTGGTTTCTCCCTCGAAATCCCGGCTTCTGATTCCGCTTCGTTTACCCTCCGCCACGACCGTCTCAACCGAGAATCATCCAAGGTCACTTATGTAAGCACGGATAGCGTTCGCGTCACGGGAGGGTTTGAATTCGAGGTGCACGAGAATGGAAAGATGATGCCGTGTGGCTCTTTGGAGAGGATAGAAGGTGAATGGAGCATGAAATGTTATATGGCGGCAGCGGTAATGGAGCCTGGGAATTCAGTTCTTTTTCAACTAAAAATGGGGTTTCAGTGCCTGGCATTGAAGTTTATATAGTGGGGGGTGTTCTGCGGGTGTGCCCTTGATATTTACCAAGATTATACCTGCTCCTTGGAGGAAAAGTGGATCTAGGCTTAGTTCGACGCTGGATGCAAATCCGGAGGATGAAAAGATTGACGAAGGGAATAATAAAGGTGGAAATGAATTGATTAGACACCGCAATAAGCAGGTAAAATTGGCATTTCAAGTGAGTGAAGTGACTATAAATCCATAATGATTTTTGATTCCATCATGTTAAGGGAATTGTGGCATCCTGTGAGAAACATTGATTGTTTTAGAAATCTTACAACAAAGATTTTATTTATGGCCTTAGCACATGAAGAATGTTATTGCTCTTATAATTATGCAGAGTTGAATTGTAATGTTGCTGGCTTTGTGTTGTATGGTACATGGTGGGATGTGGGAAGTTTATTCTGTTCTTCGAGAGTAGGTGCCACAGATATGCACTCGGATGTTTTTAGGGATGCAATGTCATTGCTTTATCTGTTTCCTTATAAAGGATTGCTGTTGTCTGTTGTCCTTATAAAGGATTGTTGGTGTTGTGTATATATGCAGTATTCTGTATGTTTCAATTCGAGGCGTTTTAAATTTGTAATTTATTGTAGTTGTATCCTGGATCAAAGCATTGATCATGAGAGAACAAAAAGTTGAGTTTCAAGTAAATTCTATATCGGCTTTTTGGTAAGCCGAAACGTGCGGGTTGACGTTGGTTGGCTTTTTATTACTCAGTTGTCACTGACTCACTCACGTCACCCTTGATCGGATAACGATAAAATGATAAAATGAGAAACAGCCGTTTAAAGTTTTGTTGCCAATAGCTAGTTTCATTCCATTGGGGTTAATTTTATAAAATTAATAAGATGAATTGAAAATGAATGGATATTAAGGATTACTAGTATTAAGTTTCACTTTTTAAAGTAATTTCTCAGTAAAAAAAGGGGGTAAATCCAAGGTATGCGGGCAAACCAAACCGGTAAAACCTGCCCCTTTAAAGGCGGTGGAGAATCCTAACTGCCATGCCTAGTAAAAACCCTATTTTTTATCTATTAAAAAAATAAATAAAATGGCACTGGGATCCGCCACTGCCTCCCCTTCGAAACTAATGGTTTATATTACTCCACGTGTACGGCCGCGCCTCTCCCCTGCTTTAGGTAAAATCCAGAAATGTGATTTTCTCTCCTTTTATAAAGCCAGGGTTAGTCAGTTCCTCACCGCGTTTGGTCTGACTTTCCGAAGAAGGAAAGAACGAACGAACTGGAACCGAAAAAACGAAACACAACGAAGCTAAGCACTGAAATCGAAGTCGAAATCAAAGAGAAGCTAAAGGTTGCGAATTTTTCAAGCTTTATGGTGTCCGTCAATCCCAACCCTGCTCAAGGTTTTTACTATTTCGATCCCATTAATATGGGACTCCCCGGTGCTAATTCTGTGCCGCCACAGGCTCCACCTCCTCCCCCCACCTCCACTGCCAGCAACACAACCGTATATTCCGACGATCCCAGTAAGAAAATCCGGAAGCCGTACACTATTACCAAATCTAGAAAGAGCTGGACTGAGCAGGAACACGAGAAGTTTCTCGAAGCTCTTCAATTGTCAGTAAATTTTCTTAATTTTTCTTGTTTGGATATATCTACGTGAGACACACAAGTCTCCTTCTTTTTGTTTGTTTGTTTTATTAATCTTATTTGATTGCTGGGAATTATTATTTTTTTAATTGGGTGTTGTTAATTCAAGGTGAATATGTAGTTAAAATTCTTGTTTGTAATGCTTAGAGTTTATGTTTTGGCGGTTTTTAGTTCAGCTAGCGTGGTTTAGGGTCTGCAACTGCAATGAAAGTGGATGCACCAAAACTATCTCAGACCGCAATTTGAATCTCCGGTCTGCACTCTGCACCACTTTTATTTATATTCTTGTAATTTATTTCAATGATTTGTTTTTGTCCTCTGCAAAAAATGACCTTTTGTTGATGAGTGGCTGGGATAAGATATTGATTCTAAATCTGCACTTCATGCATGTGGGATGAAGTTAATTGAATGCAAACATTTTAAGTTAGTGTTGGCCCCCATGGTACTTAAACATTGAGCAAGTCTGTTGCCTTACATTTTAGAGGCCGACTTTCTGGCTCAAGGTGTTGACTTTTTTAATTTTGTGTTACTCGTTTTAGATTTGATCGTGATTGGAAGAAGATTGAAGCATTTGTTGGGTCAAAGACAGTGATCCAGGTAATTTGGAAGATGTCATGAATTCTTTCCATGCATGTTTTACTGAATGTATCAATGGATGCTCTTGGCAGATCCGTAGTCATGCACAGAAGTATTTTCTAAAGGTTCAGAAAAACGGGACTAGTGAACATGTACCTCCCCCTCGACCAAAAAGGAAAGCAGATCATCCGTACCCACAAAAAGCTCCCAAAAATGGTCAGTATGGCCAGCATTTCGATATCATCTATATCTTCCTTTTGTAATTCTTGATCTTGAATTGACATTGTTATTTTGTATATGTATAGCTTCTGTTGCACCCCGAGTTTCTGGACCATTTCAATCTTCATCTGCTTTGCATGAACCTGGTTTTACATACAGACGAGATTCATCATCAGTGCCTGGAAATCTGATTGCCCCTGCATCTTTGCCTTCCTGGAGTTTCAACTCTGTGCCACCTGTCGCTGTATCTCAAGTGACTAAAGGTTTATTTAATTGTTTCACCACTTTTTTTACCTCCTTTATACTTCCTCTCAAATCTTAAAAGTATAACGTATGGTCATGTATGTATGTAGATGATGCAGTGTTAGCTGGACCAACTGTTGTGCATAATTCTTGTTACAGTAGTAGTAGTGAAAGCACACCCAGAACATGTTCATTTGGTGAAACAGTTGACCGGGGAGATCATTGGAAGCCATCTAGAGGTTAGCGTTTTATTTCTACCTTGGGCTTCATACTGGTATGATGTACCATGTTTGCATGTCTCTAAGCTATGACGTCAAGAAACATGTTTTCTCATGCATGCAATTTCTAGGAAGTTTAGCTTCTAAATGGAAGCTTCATGCCACATCTTAATATCTGCTATAATGTACCTCAACTAGGGATTTAACCCTGCTGCTTATTACAGAATTAAGTGCTTGTTATCAAGATTTAAGCCTGCTTGGTTTGACATATTCACTTTATACTTGATAAACTTTATTGTTTACTTTTCTCATCTATTTTAGGTTTATCTATTGTTACAAAATATTCACTTTTCTCCATTTGCAAGGAAATGATCATGATACTTACATTAAGAAATCAATTTTTTTTTGTTGATGTTATTCTGTACTCCCTTTCTGCTCTTTTCAGTTTTTCCCATATCTATTACAGGCAGACATGATACTTGTGGATTTTGAATCGCATAGTCTTAACACAGCAAAATGCTTGACTATTAACACTTGCCGTAATTGTTAGTCTAGCACTGGGTTATTAAGATCACAAGATAATTAGAAGTTGTCCTGAGCAGAATTTTGTTATCACACCCTGAGGTTTCCTTGTCCCAGTAGTGATAGGTTTGCTTTCTATATGATGCAGTTCTGCCAGATTTTGCTCAGGTCTACAGCTTCATTGGCAGTGTCTTTGACCCTGGTTCAAGCGGCCATTTGCAGAAGTTGAAGCAGATGGACCCAATAAATTTGGAGACTGTATGTCAACCTAGATGACGTCAATAATCTTCTCCTCCTCCCTCTCTTTCCCCCCCCCCCCCACAAAAAAAAAAGGGGGGGGGATGGTTGCTTAAATGCTTATGGTTAACTGATGGTGCTGTTCTCGCCTCTTTGCAGGTTCTGTTGTTAATGAGAAACCTCTCTGTCAATTTGACAAGCCCCGAGTTTGAGGATCATGTAAATTCTCTTTCCTTATCTTCAGCATGTCTTATATTAACTGTTTGCTCTTGCAATATATTTTACATTGTGCATGAAACAGTTTTTGATGGAAAAGTCTGCACATCTATTGGTGAAATAAGTTTGAGTCTGAACTGATTACTCGATCTCCTATCTGTATTTTAGTTGTCTTGTATAACACCTTGTGATATTGTTCTAGAGTTATTTGTTACCCCACTTCTTGGCTTCTCTTCTGTTCTGAATTCAAGTTTTGAGCCAAGAATTTAGCTATTATTGCCACTTCTGGCTAGTGTCGAAAGATCAAATGCAACGTCTGTCATCTCAATCATCACAATGTATAGGTTCGTTTCCTTACTGACTAATAATAAAAATCAATGCAGAGAAGGTTGCTTTCGACATACGATGCCGAGTCTGGAGGTGTTAAACTTTCATACAATGACATCCGCTCTCTAAAATCAGCAAGTGCTGTTCCGACAGCATAGTAAGGTAAACTTTGGTGTCTCTGAAACGGTGCATGTCCTTTTCTTTTTATCGTCGGCTCATTCTCATTTCATGACATGATTGAATGCCACAGGTTGCGGGAGTAAGATCCTGCACGTTAACTTGCTAACAGAGTTAGATGTGTGTGTATGTATGTATGCATGTGTGTGTGAGATAGCAGGTGTGATCTTCCCAGGACTTGGCAGCTTATAGCATAGCTTGTAAATTGGTGTTTCTTTAAGCGTCTGCATATCATAAAAAAAGCATCAGTTAGAGGCTACCATGTAGAGAGAGAGAGAGTATTGAGTGCTTGTTTCCCGAGTTTTCGCTGTATAATATTTTTTGTTTCAGAATTCCTCTCTGGGGTTTTGATACTGAAATAATAAAGTTAGAAAGTATGGGGGTTTGAATTACGGTCTCCATTTTTTCTAGGCACCTAAAACTGAAGCAACTCTCTTTGAAACATTGCTTGAGATCATAATCATTCTATAATGTATTTATTTATTATATTCCCATCCCATAAACTCAAATAAAAAAAATCTTATAACAAATTTTATTTTTAAAGAAGGGTAAATTATAAAATTGGTAACTGAATTTTACTCTTCCTCCTATTTCACTCGATATACTTTAAATCTTTTCAATTTTCTTACTGAATTTAATACATTGGATTTTTTTGTCCACGGATCTGTTAAATAGTTAACGGTGTTAAAATGAGCAGTTATATAGATACAAAAAGACGTTATTTCGGTGAAATTTTTGTTTTTTAAAACGATGTTTTTAACAGTGTCGTCAAAATAGAAGAGCGAGTAAAGTTTAGTGGTAAAAAACTTAATGTATTAAGTTCGACGAGGATATTGAAAATTTTTAAAGTTCGGTGAGCAAAATAAGAGAGCGAGTAAAATTCAATGATGAAATTTGTAATTTACCATTTAAAGAAATGCATCTGAAAGATTATAATTTTATGTCTTAATTGCAATCTAAACGACTATTTAAATAAAGTGGTGGACTTAATTTTTATATATTTAGATAAATTGAAATAAAAAAAAATTACATGCTTAATTAGACAACTTGATTAATATTCAACTTCAATGAAATTAATAGTATTTATTTATAAAAAGATACAACTAAATTTATCGAGTCTGCAAAGAGAACTAGACAAAGAATGACAGCAAAAGAAATGGCAGGGGATTGTATTACATTGACAAAAACCAAATGATTCTACAGTCATGTTTCGAGGATCATGTTTTGAGAAAATGCAACGTAATTCTGTTTATCCTTGTAGCCTGGAAGGGATTAATGAGTCTTGAAGGCATAATCCTCAACACATTGGGTCAGGGTTGAATTTTAGAGACTCCCTGTAGATGAGCTCCTTAATATTTTCTTCAGTAAAAGATGGTTGCTCAAAATCAAAACTGAAAGATGTAGGGCAAACTGGCTCCTCATTTATGTCATGTAGTGGTGCCAAGTAAGGGTGACAGAGCCTCATCCACTGCAACAAACAATATATGCTTGAAAATTTTTTAATGTTTGAACAAAAGTTCAGCACAAAATAGAAGGCTGTGGCTTGAACAGAAGTTTTACCTGTAATGCGCCTATGGGGATCAAAGATGAGCATCTTTTCTAGCAAATCAATGGCACCAGACATGTTTGGGAACCTAGCAGAGAAATTTTGCCTTGGGTATTGTGGAAGCTGCCTAACATATCTTCGGGCATTGTCGCTTCGAAGGAACCCAAGGCTGGAATCATCAGGAGAACTTATAAGCTATTCCAAGGAAAAAGAAATTATTTACGACTTACCTTACTTGAACTTCCATTCAATATGCACAAGGGAAAACTGTGTTCGGTTTTTGGGAGATAGGAATAATACCGATGGCATTTCTTACGACACAATTATTCATGAAATAGGAGCACCATTAAAAGAACAAGCATGTTATGATCACAATCAAGTGCAGAGTCAATATCAAATTTAAAGAATTAGAAACAGATGTAGAGGTAAAAGACTAATGATAGATGACGTTAAAAGCAAGTCCCAAGCCAATGGATGATCTCGTCTTTAGAATTAAAAGTTATGTACTACTGAGAAAGCAAAATGCATCATGGAGTCTCACAATCAAAGGGCCAAACTTATAACAAATGACATGGTAGGATGCAATTAAATGATTTCCGGAATATGAGGAATAGTAAGGCGTTAAAGGAATATCTAAAGAGTTTCCAGGTATATTCATGAGAAAAATCTAGACACCATACCTCTGTGATAAGCTTCAGCTGATGGACATAATCTTTGCCGGGGAAGAGGGGTTGTCTACTCATGATTTCACCAAGTATGCAACCCACAGACCAAATATCAATCGCAGTGGTGTACTCAGAACAATTAAGAAGCAATTCCGGTGCACGCTACCAACGAGTAACTACATATTCTGTCATGAAATCAGTTTCAGATGTCCTTGCAAGCCCAAAATCTCCAATTTTAAGGTCACAGTTTGCGTTTAGAAATAAATTGTCAGGCTTTAAATCCCGATGCAAAACATTTGCGGAATGTACATATTTGAGCCCTCGTAGAACCTGATATAGAAAGTACTGCAAGAATAGACTGCATAATCAACAATATTTCCAGCTTCTATGCTACTCAATGGGAATCATACCATGTTCCTAACCAAATATGACAAAAAACAGCACGAATATCCCAACATATTTTATACAAACGGAAGTAATTGATACCAACCCGACAATGATCATCTACCAATGATTGATTGGATCGTATGATTTGATGAAGATCAGTGTCCATCAATTCATAAACGATGTAAACATCATTAAAGTTCTCCCTCTGTGGAGGCCGTATGATGTCCTTGATGGCAATAACCTGAAGACAAATAAACCCAGTTAAACTATAATTCCACAATCAGCATTGACTACTTTAGCAGAACCTCAAATCATTATTGAAATGCAGATTTATGAAGCAGAGGAACGTTATACCCACGCCTAACAGTAAGAAAGTAACTAAAAAATTATACATCTAATATGAGAATTTAGTTAGAGATTTGCATAGGCATTTCTAGTTTTACTTCTACCATTTCATCGAATAATATAAAGAATGATAACGGCAGCTCTTTCCGGATTACGGAAAAGTGTGGTTAGATCGTGAGTTCTAACAATTAAATGAATAGGAAAGGTTTAAGCACAATATCAGAAGACTGGCCCTTGCTTAATGGTTAAAAGTTACTAGGGTGTAAAGATAATCCTCCTCGGAAACTCAAAATAGACAGCAAAGTTAACCCAAATTCCTATAATTAAACAAATTAGGGTAAAATGTGATGTTAATGTCTCCATTTCAAGTATGGTCAAAGCCTTACATGACGAAGAAAAAATAAGTGTTTCATTCCCACTGATTGTATACACGGAAACAGCAGGAACCTGACCATTGCAGTCAGCAAGGAGCCTAACAATTAGGGGGGTCTATTGTTTAAACAGAACTTACATTCTCATGATCCAGGTGACGAAGAAGCTTGATCTCTCGCAATGTCCTTTTGGCATCAATCTGGTTATCAAATGCATTACCGATTTTCTTTATAGCGACCTCCTCTCGTGTCTCTGAGTTAACAGCAGCACTAACAAAAATGGGAAGGGGGGCAAACCACATCTCATTTTCACATTATTACTAAAAATAGATCAGCAAGCCTAATAAACAGAGAGGTTACTTTCTTGCAACCCCATTCACTTCAATGGGGTTATAAATTTTGCAGCTTAATATCATTAAAAATGCAATCACGCAGCAAATACAGCTAAAAGATGATAATCAGAGCCACACTCCCAATGCTATATGGCAAATTATTAATTCACCATGGAAAATAAGATTATATTGCCCTTAAATCAGAAGAGAAAAAACTATCAATCTAAACACACAGGCCTTAATATTACAAAGTCCCCATCGAAACATGTAAATAACTTAATAAAATCAATAGATATAATATATATTTCCAATTCCTGAACTATCAAGTAGAAGAGACGAAGAATCAACATAAGAACTTTGAAGGAAACAAAGCTAAAAGAAGAACAAAATCTTACCAGACAATACCGTAAGCACCACGGCCGATGGGGCGAATAGGAGGAACGTATTTTGAGGGAACTTGGAAGAGGTTACCATAAACGTTGTACTGAACATAGAATCCACCATGAGTTGATATACCTTTGATGCTGTGATCCCCAGACCCTGAGCTCGGCTCCATCAACATGAGTTCTGGATTCGAATCTTGGATACAACCCGGACCCGGCTACCAACCCGAAATTCAGAAAAATCTTCTGCAGTAGTGTTGATAACAGCTGAAATTCAGAGAGAGACGAAATGAGGGGCATAATTTGGGAGAGCGCGTAAGTAGGCGTAAAAGTATTCTATTTTCATTTTGGATTTTTCAAAGATGAGAGTGTGAACCCTTTGAACAAGAAAATTTTTGAGTCTTCCCTTGAAGATTCCACCTTCAATTCCACTCTATTTATTTATTGGTTAAACCATATAACATAATTATTTTTTTATTCCACTTTGAATATTTAATTATTTTTTAACTCACATCAGTCTAATTATTAGTTTTAATTTATTTCGATATTCTATTAATAAAAAATTAACGATGATACTGACGTCTTATCATAAAATAATATCATATCATTATTAAAATATATCATGTCAATAATTTTGTTAATAGTTTTAAAATAAAATTAAAACTTAATGTTAATGTTAAGCATGATTTTAAAAAAAAATAGACAATTAAAACAGAATAAAATATTGTAGTTTATCCTTTTTTATTTGAGTAAATTACACATTTATTAACTGAATTTTACACCATCTCCTAATTCACTCAATATATTTTTAATTATTTTCGATCTAATCACTAAATTTTATACATTAAATTTATAACGGGTTATAAGGTGGCTAAATTAAAATATTTTCTAATTTTCATCTTCTTCTTTCTCTTACCTCTCCATCTCCCACTTCACTCTTGGCCCGTTTCCTTACCTCCACCATTATCGTCGGTGCATGCATCCATCAATGCTCCACAACAGTCCCCCTTCTTCACAATCTCATCGATCGTCTCCTCATCCACCTCACAGTCACGCGGTCCACGTCGTCCTCTCGCACACATGTACGACCATAGAAGGTAGATAGTTTTATTTACTTCAGCAACAACTCCCCAGAGCTTCATTCCAGGAGAAATATTCTTAATGGTTATTTTAATTGCATATCTAGATGCTTATCAGTAATGCCATAACTGATTTCTTCATCTACGTGTTCATCATATATTCGCCATATCATACTCCTAGTCGCCAACATTCCTCTTATTATATTTGCAGGAGCAAAGCGCAGAGTTCCTTTGGGTCTCGAAGACGATGACCAATGCTGGTATTAAGAACTTCAATGCAAACATAAGGC